CCCAAAGTCAAGTCCTACTATCTTTTTCAGTGATATACTCCCAATTCCTCTGCTCTTGCCTTTTGTCTTGTTGGCCTCTCTACTTGTATGACCATTGGAATTGAATTGTTGCCAACGCTTGGAGAGAAATTTAGGAGAGAGAAAAGAGAGGTTAATTTGGAGTATTGGGGAGATGGTTGATGAGAGAGAAAGATACTTGATTATTATTGGACCTTTAACTGTGGTGTTTAAATATAAAGATAATTAATTAATCCTAGTTTTAAGGGAATTGTGTATCTTATTGTATTTTATTAATATATTGTATAAAATATTAAAAGTGGTAATATATGTAATTGTTTAAAAATAGAGGTAGAATTAGTATATATGATAGTAACGTATATCTAGTTAGATAGTTTTTCCTAAAAAAAATTCACTCGGTATCAAAAGCCTATATTGAATTCTTGACTAAATCCAAATCGCGCATTGCAGGGCCCATTTGGGGGCGACACTCCCAGTAAGATTTTATCCATACCTATGACTCAAACCTGAATTGATTAATGATAAATCAATCCCACCACTATATGACAACCCATAATAATATATTGTTCAATGGGAGATGATTCTGGTCAAATAGCTTTCGGAATTGCAGCCATATAATTGATTGAAATGAATGATTGAAGCAAGTGGGCGTGGACTTTAAAGACTACTTTGACATTGACATGTTTGTGGGTACATGCTAAGATATTTAGGAGTGGTTGGGTATGTGGATTAAATTATCCTGAAATTATAGTCATGAGGTTATAATCCACAATTAATTAAGTACCTACAATCGTTGCCTCGTCCGTTGATGCAGTCGAGAAGGTCCTCAAGACATATGATCACATCTTTGCTAATAGGCCTCATCATGAGGCATCTCAACATTTGGCTTGTGGCCAAAAGAATTTGGTATTTGCAAAGTATGATGTGTATTGGCGCAACATACGAAAATTGTGCACAGTGCACCTTTTGAGCAATCAAAAGATCAATTCATTTCAATCCATGAGAAAACAAGAAGTTGAACTTCTTATTGAGTCGCTTAAAAAGGAAAGCTAGTGATCGTGTAGTTGTTGATCTTAGTGCAAAGGTTACGTCCTTGAATGCTAACTTGACTTGCTTAATGGTGTTTGGAAAGAAGTACATGGATGAGGACTTGGAAAAAAGGGGATTCAAAGCTATTGTTCAAGATGTTGTGCATTTATCAGCAACACCAATCTTGGTGATTTTTTCCCCTTCCTTGGTGCTATTGATCTCCAGGGTATCACTCACAAGCTCAAGGATCTTTCGAAGGTGTTTGATGAGTTCCTTGACAAGATTATTGATGAACACGTTAACCCTCATGAACAGAAACAAAATAAGGACTTTGTGGACACCATGATGGACATAATGCAATCTGGAGAAGCAAAATTTCAGTTTGATCGTCGTCACATAAAAGCTATCCTCTTTGTCAGTACTTTCATTCCATTTTGTCATATATACTAGTTTAAGCTTAATATAGCACAAGCAGGGGCGTAGCCACCTTAGTACAAGGGGGTTCGTCCGAACCCCCTTCGGTGGAAAATTATATTATTTATACATGGTTAAAATAATTTTTTATGTATATATAGTAGATGTCGAATCCCCTTCGGCTACTTCGTATGTCTATTCTACTGATTTTGAACCCCCTTATTGAAAATTCTGGCTCCGCCACTGACCACAAGCCTTGAGAATGAAATGGTTTGTACTAACTAATTCCCCTGTTTCCTTTTGTATACAGGACATGCTTATAGCTGCAATGGACACTACAGCATCATCAACGGAATGGATACTCACCGAACTTCTTAGGCACCCCCAAGTGACGAAGAGACTTCAAAAGGAGTTGCAAGAAGTGGTAGGCTTCGATAGAATAGTGGAAGAATCCGACCTGGAGAATTTAAACTACTTAGACATAGTTGTCAAAGAGGGCCTGAGGCTGCATCCTGTAGCGCCACTATTTTATCATGAGTCCATGGAAGATTGTGTAGTCGATGGTTTCCACGTACAAAAGGGATCCCGAATCATAATAAATTGTTACGCGATTCATAGGGATCCAAATGTTTGGCCTGAGCCTGAGAAGTTTTCGCCTGAGAGATTTGTTGGGAGCAGTGTAGATTTTCGTGGACGCGACTTTCAACTGCTACCATTTGGCTCTGGGAGAAGAAGCTGCCCTGGGATGCAGTTGGCAGTTACCATTGTCCGCCTTGTGGTGGCACAGTTGGTGCATTGCTTTGAGTGGGAGCTTCCAAATGGTATTGAGCCTTGTGATTTAGACATTGATGAGAAGTTTGGGATTGTAACATGTAGAGATAAGCCTTTGCTGGCTATTCCTACTTATAGACTAAAGAAATGATGCAAATACAATGCATATAATAAAAGATCAACATTGAAAGTTTCTAGTATATGATTTTGTGATTGTTGTGTGTTTCCCCTGCTAATCTACAATATACCTAATTAAAGATATATATTCCAAAAGTCATTGATCTCTTCTTTCTTGTTTCCCTTTGAATGCGTTTTAATAAGTCAAGAGATAAAAGATCTGAACTGAGAACTGTCACGGTTAAGACATAATTTTCCTAAGTCGTGATGACACCTAACTAGTCCTACATCAAGCGAATCATATCCCAATAAGCGAACAATGACATAAACAAAATGTCAATAATATAGTGACATTGTTTTAACAACCTTAAACTAAGATCCAGTATAACTAGTTATGTGCAACTAAAGATAAGAATACATCTTTCTTCATTAGTCCTTCTCCAATTTGAGTTTGCCCAATTCATCTTGTCTATCATCGAATCTCATTAAGTCCAATAAATTTCCCCTTTTTGATGATGACAAACTTATGTTCCCCTCCTGGTTTGTGCTTAACCTGTTCCATTTAGTACATGCCAACAGAAGCCCGAGATAACACAGGAATGAACCACTTAGACGAACCAGGTTAGTTTTATGGATTATAAATAATTAGTATGCGTCTTCCCCATTTTGGCATTATCGAAAACCTGTTACTATGTACACAAGGATCAGTTGAGTGAAACTTTCGTCATTTGTAGTGTGAACTTAGTTTTCTCCTACCTCCAACTTTTGCCACAACATTTCTCCCGGTCTCTAGGTGCGGGGCTTTGACAAACGCCAGCACCTACTCGCCAAAATCCTTCAAACTACCCTCAAGATCCTCCACCTTTATGAAATAATTACAATCTATCCCACCCAAACCTTGAGAAGAAATCGTACGTTAATATTTGCGCCACTCATGAGTTATCTTTAATGTCTTTTTTCTTGTTACTTGTAGAAGATGATTTTCCAAATTTGTGAATGTGAGACATTTGGCAGATATTGTTTGATAGCTGGAAAAGAAATAAATTATTTATGTATTAATTTTTGTATAATTTATATGATATATGGTAAATAGATAGAAAATAAGTTAATAATGTAAGAATTAATATGATATTTGGTTGACAATTCAAAAACTCACATAACTAATACACGTATAAGTTATGAGGTATCTATATATTATTTTACATATAATAGAATATGAACAACTAGTACTCATATTTATATAACTTATACATAAATAACTAATCTCTACCTAACTAATATTCTTACATAAAATAATACATAGATTCACGTTCGGAGAGGATTGCTCATTCTTTTTCCCTCACGCAAGATATATATACATTTTCCTATCCATATATAGTAATAGATATGTATCAAATAATTCCACCAACAATCCATATATATATGATAAAAGACTTCTCATTTCAATAATTTCTTCATAAACATAAGAATGTGAGAAAAGGTATTTTTCCATGAAATGCAGTTACCATATTTAAGACTTAATTAAATCTATCTAAAATAAATCATCAAAGATTTGGTACATATTAGCCGACATTTAACAGTCACCTATTACTATAGATTATGCAAGTGAAATAAGCTAATATCCAATTAGCAAAATTTGTAAAACATCATACTAAGTCAAACAATATCACATAAAATAAAAAGAAAGAAATATATATAACATGACCGGAGGCATGAACGGGCCCATATTGAGCAAAAGGGTGTCAAGCAACACCCCTTTCTTGATTCTTTTTACTCATATATATTAATACTATGCATAAAGATATACATTTAACAAAATAACGCCACTTGACAAAAGTTACCTATTGGTGTGTTGGTTCATCAATTGACTTTGCTATTGGAGGTGCAAACCTCAATCTAAGCATATTTTGTTACAAGCAACATTGAAAGTTTCTAGTATATGATTTTGTAATTGTTGTGTGCTTCCCCTGCTAATCTACAATATACCTAATTGAATATGTATATTCCAAATGTCATTGATCTCTTCTTTCTTGTTTCCCTTTGAATGTTTTTTAACAAGTGAAGAGACAAAAGATGTAAACTGAGAACTGTCACGGTTGAGACCTAATTTTCCTAAGTCGTGATTACACCTAACTAGTCCAACATCAAGCGAATCATAACACAATAAGAGAACAATGGCATAAACAAAATGTCAGTAATATAGTGACATTGTTTTAACAACCTCAAGCTAAGATCCAGTATCACTAGTTATGTGCAACTAAAGATAAGAATACATCTTTCTTCATTAGTCCTTCTCCAATTTGTACATCCCATTGAATTTGCCCAATTCATCTTGTCTATCATCGAATCTCATTAAGTCCAATAAATTCCCCCTTTTTGATAATGACAAACTTATGTTTTGTGCTTAACCTGTTCCATTTAGTACACGCCAACAGATAACGCAGGAATGAACCACTTAGATGAACCAGGTTAGTTTTATGGATTATAAATAATTAGTATGAGTCTTCCCCATTTTGGCATCATCGAAAACCTGTTACTGTGTACACAAGGATCAGTTGAGTGAAACTTTCGTCATTTGTAGTGTGAACATAGTTTGCACCTACCTCCAACTTTTACCACAACGTTTCTCCCAGTCTCTAGGTGCGGGGTCTTGACAAACGCCAGCACCTACTCGCCAAAATCCTTCAAACTACCCTCAAGTTCCTTCACCTTTACGAAATAATTACAGTCTATCTTCACAAACATAAGCATGTGAGAAATGTCATTTTCCCATGAAATGTATTAATCATATTTAAGACTTGAATCTATCTAAAATAAATCATCAAAAATTTGGTATATATTAGCCGACATTTAACAGTCACCTATTACTATAGATTATGCAAGTGAAATAAGCTAATATCCAATTAGCAAAATTTGTAAAACATCATACTAAGTCAAACAATGTCCCATAAAATAAAAAGAAAAAAGTATATACAACATGACCGGAGGCATGAACGGGCCCATATTGAGCAAAAGGGTGTCAAGAAACACCCCTTTCTCGATTCTTTTTACTCATATATACTAATACTATGCATAAAGACATACATTTAACAAAATGACGCTACTTGACAAAAGTTACCTATTGGTGCGTAGGTTCAAAATCTCTTTTTACTTAAAGCTAGTTTAAACCAATGAGATACGATAATTAAATTTATGTCTTTTCCTCTATAAATATCAATACCATTTTCTAAAAATTTTGTGTACGACACTGACCAGAGAAAATAGTAAAGCTTTAGTCTTGGCCCAAAATTGTAACCAAAATTGTAAGTGAGTTAATATAGCGCTCACTCATGAATTATCTTTAAATATCTTTTTTTTGCTACTTGTAGATGAATTTGACGTCCAAATATGTGAATGTGAACCACTTGTAGGCATAGTTTGATGGTTGGATAAGAAATTAATTATTTATATATGAATTTTTGAATAATTTATATGATGTTTGGTAGGTAGATATAAAAAAGAAGAAGATAATCATGTATAAAATGAGAAAATGGCCAAATGACCCCCCAATCTATTACCGGATTTCCAACTACACACCTATTCTCTGCAGGAGTCCTATTATCCCCTGAAGAGAGAGGTTTCTCAAATTGGTCTCAAATTGGTCTTCTCATCCGCGATGATTTTGAGCTGTCGATCTGTAACATCCGGCAATTTGAAATAACCATGAAGAGGCTTAAAATTTGAAATTTTCATTTTTGGAAAGAATTTTAAAAATCTGGAAATTTGGCTAAGTATGGAGAAAGGTGAGTTTTTGGCCAACTTTGAACAGTCATAACTCCTAGCTCAGGATGAGTTAGGTGTATTTCCAGTTGTGCTTGCAAAGTTCGTGGAATGATCTTTCCAACGCCGCCGAGTTTGCTCGATTCCGAGTTCGTATCTGTGAGATATGCCCTTTGAAAGTTGGGCAGTTGACAAGGAATTTCGTCCGGGAATCATTAAGGGCATTTTGGTCTTTTCCCTAGCTA